TGACGGGGACCGGACTACCACACTGAGGCCTCGTCCTAAAAAGCCCCGGCTGCTATAAGCAAGATGCCGACAACGGGGAGTAATTGACGATATACCGTGTATATATGTATATTTACGTTCATTTTGTACATTTCTAAAAATAAAGTTTAATGGAAATACTATATATAGCAAATCATGATTTGATTTCTCATCAAACAGTAGTAGTTTATAACGGGTAAAAATAACTTACTCTTTGTTATGACCGGCTCGTAGGCCACAACGGAAAGACAAGGAGACATACACGAGTTTACAAAACCACGGCACATTTATTGTGGTAAATGCAGAGATACGTGGTCAGGGAAGAGGATTGCTGTGCTGCTTGGAGGGAGAGAGAGGCTGCCGTGTGACTCCCGGCAGCTGGCTAGCACCTCGGCTCCGGCCAGGTGTCCGTGATCGCGCTGATTAGCCTCTTCAGCTCCACCCCATCGTAAGACAAAGGCCCTGGGGCCGTCACACTCTTCTATAACAACAGTTAAAAATATATATATGTATATAAAATATACGGCTGTACCGACGCCATGATAAGACTGATGTTCGGCTGAGAGCAGCCGTTTAGACATGGGCGCAGCCTCTCTGGTGGTTGACTAATCAGAACAGAGTGGCCGAGCTGACCAATCGGAGCACACTAGGCTCACAGGGAGGGGGGGGCAAGAGCTCCAACGAGTCGTTTAGTGGAGAAAGTGAATACTGCTGAATACACATGCTTGACAGAGATGCTGTATGCGAAACCAATGTGAGTTTGGAAAATTGCACAGTATAAATCTATTTTAGTATACCTCAACAATGTAATTATGATCAGTGGAAATGGCCATGACATGGGCCCTTTAAGATGTACAATATATGACAAGCACAAGTTTCATTTGTGGGCCCTATTTCATTATACTTTTTGAATTAGCTGAGGGCAGTTTCAAAATGTGCTGCGGGCCGTAGTTTGGACACCCCTGGTTTAGACTATGGTCTTCCTGTAATAAAGCCAACAATGTTTGGTATTTAAACTATTCATTTTTGTTGTACCACTTGACTCTATTTGATTTACTATATCAAATAACCTGAAGTGGAGAAATGTTATGCAACTGCATTTTAAGCGACATATGAGTCTCTTATTTATTTTAAACAGTCTCATGGGGGGGTTTGTTTTTTTATTAGGTTTTAAATACATTTTTATTGTTTTCTTTTGATGTTTATATCTCTGACTTGGTTTTTAACAATATTAAGACCATATTTGAATCATCCCATAATATTGCAAAAATGCGTTTTATAAATCCATACATAAATAAAAGCATATATTTGGAAAGGGAATCAAATATATCTTAAATAGGTCATGGTCACAGCTCTGTAATGCAAATATGCGTTAAAAAAAAAATCCCCATCCAATTTCATCATCTAACTCCACCATCTGCTCTCCTGCTTTAACAAGGTCTTTAGCCGTAATTGCTCATAATCACACATTATTATTCCTTATGCGATTTGGAAAACTAGCAGCAGTTGGCTTTGAAAAGAGGCAAGAAAAGTCTCCATATAGGTGCTGAGGGACAGACGTGATGAGAAATGTCTCCCAATGTTTTGAAGAACAGTCGTCATTGGTTCAGGACTTTAAGACGTGAACTGTTTTGGAAATGAACCAGGAGTTATCAATCAGACCTGCTTCCACCGTGTGCCATCTGCTATCACAGCACCATAGGAGAGAAAGGAGATTTACAGTTCATTATGTACTACAATGTTTAACACACAACCGGAATGGAAATGACAAATTACATATTTTTAATGGGATGTTTGAAAGCTGTTTGAAAGCTTTCTGCAGGTTTTTAATCAATGATATGGTCCCAATCTTTCACTTGAGCCTTGAAGACTTTTGGACCATAACAAGGTTTGGCAATTGGAAATCTGCAGCTGTCCAAAAAGCCTGTTAACAGTGAATATGGTTCATGACAAAGGTGCTTCAGTAGATCCGCTGCAGTCTAAAGCATCCTCAGGATTCCTTTTTCCAGTTGACTAATTATCAGGACATGAGGGCAGAGAAAACATTTTCCTGCTGCACCAAATATTGCTTAATTTAAAAGACCCTCCCCTAATCTTTGCTTTTGAGCCATGCTAGCAGCAAGGCTTTATGATGGATATGTTCCAACAAATATTGGATGGATTTCTGTTGAATTTTGTACAAACATTCATCTTCCCTTTAGGATGATTTGTAAGAACTTGTGTTTTTCTCTGACTATTAATTGTGTCTACTTCCATCAGCCTCAGCTGTACATAGTGCTAACCAACTAATTATATCACGCTAACAGACTGAACTAAGATGGTGACCGTGCTAACATAACGTCTGCTTAACATCAACATTTTAATTTAGCTCTTAGCTCTTACATCTCACAGAGCTGCTGTCATGGCTGAAGACTTTATCTTTTGTTTTCCTGTGAGATTCTGATATATTTACAGCCGAAAAGTATTTGTTTGTTTTTTGGTTGAACTGGTCACAGCTGGTAGACACATGCACGCAGGGTTGCCCGGGAAACAAGGAGACATTTATTCCATTTTGAATGGATCAAAAACCCAAATGATGTTGGGAAACAGTTGGAGTTTGAGTTGAGAGCTGTCCAAGGTGCTGATCCTGGAACAGCCAGGGAGCTGGAGCTGTCTGTGGAGCTTCAACAGGGAGCGTCCTCCTGCTGTTCACTCTGACAGGAAGCAACATGGCAAACAGGACTAGCTGCTCCAACGTCCTCGTTATTAAAGGAAGTACACTTGTTATGGTGCGGTTTTATCATATTTAAGTATCAGGTATTTTCTTTTTGATATTCTTTCAAGGTGGACTGGATACATTGAAAAATAAAAAAAGGGGAAAAGGCAGTACCCTTCCAATTTTATGATCATAAACTGAAATGATCCAGTTTCTGAATGATGTTATTCATTCAACTCATTCTTGTCTTTATTGTATTTTGATACTAGTTACTGCATTTAAACGTATGTAATTTATAGCTTTCTCTTCAAATATCTTTTCATTTGACCTGTTTATTAGTGGATTAAACGAATAAATTGTCAATTATTTTTGTTAAACCTTCTTTTAATTGTCCAGTTAAAGCATGAAACACGTTATCATTTCATAAATGTATTCATCTCTCATGACTGCCATTAATTGCTGTAATTATTCGCCTGTCAGATATAATTGAGTGGATGTTTTGTAGCCATATATATATATGTATGTACATCACCTGCGGTCCTCCTATAATCTCTACGCTGTCTCTGTGTCTCATACTGTGGTGGTGCCTCCATTTCCCCCTCATCCTTATCAGTATCAAGCTGTGCACTCTGTTGAATTGATCCGAGGTCTAAGGCTCCTTGTAGTCCCATGCATTGCTGAGTGGCAGCACGTGGGCCACCTGCCATGCGGGGGCTGCGGGTCTCCACTTCATGACCCACTTACTCGTCTTGTTTTGACAAAACCTCGAGTGAAGCTCCATCTCAGCGGCGTGTTGTGTGTTGGAGGATGATCAAAGCTTACCTTTCTTGTGAGGTCATAACACCGCGAGTGTGCTGCTGATGAAAGGATTATGCGTGTTGTTATTGATCGGCCCACTGGGGTCCTGCATTATTCACAGGGGAAGGCGTGTCTGCAGCAGTTGTGATAAGCTGTTCAACACCCAATAAAGTGTGTTTCTTTTCTCAGCCTCAGAACCTTTCCATATATATAAAGAAGTGTGGATTTGACAACATGTTTAACTATTAATGTCCACCATAATGAATGTTTAAAAAGCCGTGTGAAGCTTACAGTAAGGCAGACATATGGTGATGCACCTGTCCTGAGGCTGTGCTGCAGATGCATTTAGTTTTAAATGTACATATTAGATGAGCTAGGCTCTTTATACAGAACTACCTACAAAAGGAACAGCTGTTAGAATAATTGTAATTCTCACATCCTCTGCTTTACAAGAGCAAAGAGCTCAGAGGTCAGAGAAACGGCCACCTGACAACTCATGCAAATTGAAGTGTTTTTTATGACTGAAGAATGATTCTATGCACCAGTCGATCCTCAAATGAAATACAGAGTTAAATCCCAGACTTAATGTAGGTTAAAGGGTCTTGAATGTATTGTCTTCAGTGATTGTAATGTTATGTTAAAGGGGACCTATCATGCAAAATGCACTTTGTGATGTCTTTTATACATAAATGTGTGTCCGCGGTGCGTCGGGGAACTCGCGCAGCGTCAGAAAATAAAACCCTCTCTCTTTTCCTCTGTACCCAAATCTTTTAAAAACGGGTGTACAACGAGCGGATACAGATTCCATCCGATCTGACGTCAAATCGGCGGCGGACCCACAGAAAGTTGCTATCAGAAACAATGCCTGACATGTTTTGGACGTCTTTGTTTACATTAGCAAGCCTCGCTAACACTCAGAGCTAACCTGTATTGAAGAGCACATGTGTTTAAAAAGCAGGAAATAAAAAAGGAACTCACCTTGTGATAAACCTGCAAGAGAAAAAGCATTTGAGCTCCATACTATTTCAGAAATAATCCTTGATGTGGTTTAAACAGGATGGCGAAATATCACAACCGAATTTAACTTTATTTCCAGTTATAATTCTGATCAGGCATTAGCTCCGCCTCCTCTTATTTATTTGTTTCAAGCTAAGGACCCAAAATCTGCATTTCTCTAACAGGGCTGCAAAAGAGGGGTTTGAGCAGTATGAGGCATGGCTACAATGGGTGATCTGTTTGGTATTTTGAAAAAAACCCATCACAGACATGTTTTATATAGGTATGGCCCTACAATATATTTTTCAAATATAGCATGATAGGTCCACTTTAAATGTGTGTTTCCTTGTATCTTGTCTTAAAATGTGCCCGTGTTGCAAATGGAGCTGCTGCAATGCAAGAACATTTTCACACTTGATCTGACAGTAAAGTGTTATGTATTGTATCGAAAGATGAATATCATAATGAAAGAGGTGTCTCTGTGTGTCTGCAGGATCCAGTCCGGCTCCTACCTCAGCACCGGCTGGTTCACGCTCATCCTCGCCATGGACATGTGCAAAGAGATCCATATCTACGGCATGATAAATGACACCTACTGCAAGTAAGACACCAACTATCCCCCTGCATTCTTAGGTGAAAAATGCACACAGAAGACTTCGTAAACTAGATTTGCATTCACAGCAGCGCCGGCCAATCGCAGCCTCTCCCATAATCAAGACCTGCCCTGTTGGAATGCATTTCCAATTCCTCTCTTTGGGTTTAATGGCTGAATTTCTATGCTGAAATCCATATTGGGTTCTGTGTGCCGTGAATACCATTATATATTTTCCTGCCTAGAATACCCAGCAGGCTGCAGAGTCTCCGAGGCTGCAGCACCCATTTCCTCCCCTGCTCAAAGTTGTATTCCCATACATGCCAGTCTTCCTCGGTCTGACTCGTGGGTGAGTGATTGCTGTCGGACTGCGAGGCCATGGGAAGGATGACAAACAAGATGCTGTAGCTCCGGGCACGGCTGCTCGCTCTCTGATTGACTCGCCTCCTCTCTCTCAACGTGATCTCTCTCTATCCCCCGAGTCAAACACTTCTACCTAATACGCAGTGAAAATCCTGCCTTTTATCCTCCCTGTGTTCCCCGTGCACAGCGGGAGTTGAAATATAAATATAAACAGCCCCAGACACATGGCAGAGAGGAGAGATAATTCAACCAGCGCGGAGGATTTTATGATTCAGCGAGGCAGTTAAGAGGCGGCGTTGTCTCCTTTCCCGTCTTTCACTTCTTTCCTTCCTTACCTGCGTGAGACAGGAGGATGTTGTGTTTCACTGAGTGGACAATTTAGTGTCACACAAACCTCTGTTGGCAGCCGACCGCTCCGCTACAACGAGAACAAATTCAGTTTTGGTAGTGGATCAAAAGCCCAAATTATGTTGGTAAACAGTTGGAGTTTGTCTTGAGCGCTGTCCAAGGGGCTGATCCTGAAACAGTCAGGGAGCTGGAGCTGTCCGTGGAGCTTCACTGGAGAGCGATGCTGCTGCTTCTCTGACAGCAAGCAATATGGCAAACCTGATTAGTTGCTCAAAACAACAATGTTATTAAAGGTCCCCTATTATACTGTTTTTCATCAATATATTACAGGTCTCAGATATACACAAACATGTCTCTGAAGTGTTTGGCTCCAAACACCAAACAGATCATTGCAGCATCCCATAATCCCCTCTGTTTCAGCCCTGTTTCCAAAGTGCTGATTCTCTGTCTGTTACTTTAGATGAAAATAAGGAGCCCCTCCCCACGCCCCTCTGAGAGATATTTGGTTAAAACGAACACAATGGTGCTCTAGGAGGAGATTCAGGTGATAAGGTAGGTGGGGGGGGGGGGGTTACCTTGGTTGTTACCTTGGTTGTTGATTGGCTAATGGTTACACAAGCCAAAAAATCGTTATGACATCACAAAGTGGCCAAAATCTGATCAGCTCATTTTCAGACAGGTTTTTATATAAATGGATCAGGACAAAAAGAGAGAGAGTCTTTGTTCCTGAAACTTCCAGAGTCTCTTTCCACAGAGGGGACACATGTTGGTATAGAAGACATGACAAAGTGGATTTTGCATTATAGGTGACCTTTAAAGGAAACGTGCTTGTTATGGTTTCATTCAGCGAGGCAGTTAAGGGGCGTCGTCCTCTTATTTCCCGCCTCTCTCTCATCTCCTTCCTTACCTGCGTGAGACGGGAGGATGTTGCGTTTCACTGAGTTTCTGAGTGGACAATTTAGCGTCACACAAACCTCTGCTGGCAGCCGACCGCTCCGCTCCGACAACAAGAAGAAGTGAAGTTTTGTGTGCAGCGCTAGTCAGAATGGACCTCAGCAGACATTAGATAATGGAGCCTCAACAGGTGCTGCGGAGAGGGTGAAATTGAATTTATTTGTTAACGCCGGTGCGCTCCAGCGTGTGACACAGAGAGGAGCGAGGCAGTGATTGGGTTGTGTCTCACTGAGAGCTGGCACACAGCCATGGCTCTGTGGATGTGGAACCACTGGAGATGGCTCTTTCTCTTCTGTCTGTGTTCATTCCCCTAATGAAAGTGTTACACAACATTTTCTCACAAAGCCATCACTCACTATTAGCAACCAACTGCAGGCTGCACAGTGGATCTATGTATTGATTCCTCCTTTCTTCTAATGGTTTGTAGATGCAAACTGTAAACAATTTCAGCTCAGAATTGCTCCACTTCCCTCCTCAACATTACTCAGTTTATTTGGGTGGTTTTTAGATTTACTGTGGCTCAGAATAGGAGGAATGTTTTCATGATATCTTACAAATAACAAGAGTAGTTATTGAATAACAGGAGCTGCTGTTATTTGTGTTTTAATGAGGGGAACCTGTGGAGTGGAGGCTTTCGCCCGAGGCAGCATCACTTCAAGCCGCTGACTGCTGAACGCTGTCCTGAAAAAACCTTCATTTAAACTCATTTGTTATTCCATAGTTTTAAATGCTGTTATTTTCTGGAGCTTGTCCTGAAAATGCATTCCACCTGCATTTTGTATATACAGTATATATTATTTATCTATATACACAAAAATGGAAATTCAGACAACTTGGAAAAACAGAACAATTTCAACCTGATATATTACCACCATCATAATAATAATAATAGATTTATTTTGTTAGCGCTTTTACAGGTGCTCAAAGACGCTTTACAGATATAGTGAAAAGAAAAGAACAACAAATAAATATATATAGTTAAAGTTAAAGTCAAATAATACAAAAACAATCACACATTAAAAGCCAGATTGAAGAGGTGAGTTTTTGTGAGTTTTTTTAAGGTGGTGAGGTCAGGGCAGTCTCTGATGGGTTGTGGGAGTGAGTTCCAGAGGGAGGGGGCAGCGACGGAGAAGGCTCTGTCCCCCCAGGTCCGGTGCTTGATGCGGGTGGGGATGGATAGGAGGTTGGCTTCTGATGAGCGGAGGCAGCGGGAAGGGGTGTGGTGGTGCAGCAGGTCTGTGAGGTACGGGGGGGCCTGATTGAGAGCTTTGTAAGTAATCAGGAGGACTTTGAAGTCGATTCTTTGACGGACGGGGAGCCAGTGGAGGTTCTGGAGGACGGGAGTGATGTGGTCTCGGGAGCGGGTGTGGGTGAGGAGGCGGGCAGCAGAGTTCTGGATATGTTGGAGTTTATCATATCAAAAATACGTGAAACACATTAAAAAACACTGTATTATTTAATGTTTGACTAGGATGAGGAGTTGATTAATTTCATCATCACACATGCAAAAACCATATACAAATGATAATAATAGGTGTTCAATGAAATAGACTGTTCCAATGGTTGACCAAATTCTTCACATGCGTAGGACAAAAATCTTCAGTTTAGTCTGCAGCCTGCTTGGAACAATAGAGTTGAATACATATCATTGTATAACAACAAACAGATACGATTCTCTTGAGGGTTAATAATACAATGATATAACAATGATATCCTGACCCTAGACTGTATATATAAGATCCTGACCCTACTTCTAACCTTCATTGTGTTGTGACGCTCAGCTCTGATGTGATTAAATGTGATCGATTGGTCAATCACTTTCAGAGCTCAATCAGAAGGATCCTGTCGCATCTCATCTCAACATCCATTCACTGACAGGACGTCAAACATCACCGCACACATGACATACTGTACATGCCTCTCCTTTGTGATGCAGCACTACTACTTGTTTATTTAGTTAAAAGTCTGACATTAGCAGAAGGGCTCCTTATTTCAGGGAGTGTCCGATATTCAACTCTCCCAACGCTACATGGCAAACATGCAGGATTCAAATTTCTATGAAATCAAAAACTATGTTTAAAGTTGTTTTGTCAGTATATGGCCCCATAAATGACAACTTATGCTATTGATAATGGTATTGTATAAGTATATAATTTCCCTGAGAACGATTAAAAATGTTAGTGACTCATCCTGCACTCGTTTTTGCAATTAAATGTTTTTATTATATCAAAAATATGAGTCTCACCTTCACCAGCAGCACTGACAGATCAGGATCAATCTTCTTCATTGTCTTCTGCTTCCTCCTCCACTTCAACCCTGTTCCAAGTGCTCTGTGAAATCTTCTAGCGTAGGCGAGGGTGATACTGTAGCAACAGAAACCGATCTAGTAGGTACCGTCAATCTGTAATCTCCCAGCGGGTCGTAACACATCTTTAAAGCAGTTGGCTACTGAAAACAGCAGAAGATAATATGTTAAATCAAAATGCACTCAGCTAGCCGTTTCATGGTAACTTAAAATACTTTCGGGGATCAAAGTCACATGCGAAAATACACAGTTTATAATAGTTATAAATAAGACCTCAAATAAATACCATGATGTCCTTGTCGTTGGTTTAAAAACAACAACCATGAAACTCTATATTTTGTGCTGCTTTCTTTCCCTCTTTCTTGCTTTCTATCTTGTTCTTTCTATGTATCTAACGGTCTTCCTCTCCTCTCCCCTTCAGGACGGAGGGCTACAGAAAGGTTCCCTATCACTACTACGAGGCGGGCAGCCGGGACGAGTGTGCGGAGTATCAGCTCCACGAGAGCGCCCCGTACGGCGGCCATCGCTTCATCACGGAGAAATCTGTGATTGGCAAGTGGGCCAAAACTCACTCCATCAAGTTCTTTAACCCCCCATGGACGCTGTCGTGACCCTGGCTGAACCGACAAGGAAATATTACACCGTCATCGCCATTATCATCATCTCTGTCGCCTGGGGACCAGCTGGATCGCTACACTGACAGAAAGCCTGTTCCCTAATGTGCACAAACATCACACTTTGGCACATATTCCACTTCATATCCATTAGAGAAGGTTGTTCGATGGCTGCCTGTCAAGTGCTGAATGGAGAACATCCAGGAAGTGTGTTTTCTGACAGGAAGCCTTTCCTGTTCAATTGATAAACATGGCCAGCAAAAACATATCTCCTGCTTCTTGAATTTGAAAGCTGCCGAGTTGTTCTGTTCACTGACCAGCCGATCCTCTCTGCTCTGTGAGTTCAGCAAAGGACGGCCTCGAAGAATCACTTTGAAAAGAAAAAACAACGGAGGGAAACAACAGGAAGTTACAACTGTCCGTCAACTCTCGGTGACCTCACGGATCACGCGTTTGCAGGCGCTCTACATGGCAGAGGCTGAATTAAAACGCTGAAGAAGAGCTCCTGTTGCCATGGATGCCTGTTGATCTCGCCTACTCTGTTTCCTCCTGTCAGGCTGTAATTCATCCATACTGTAACACGCATCATTCAGGCTTTCGTCTCTGACTGATAATTGAGGGCATTTTTCGCCGACAACAGCTTCAACAAACAAGGTCATTTGAAAAAGAAAACCGCAAAAAACTCAACGGTAAACAAGAGTCATGGCTGTAAATCGTCTGTTCACCGTCATGCTTTGCTGTCTGTAAACTCACACAACTGAAAGATGTCAGCTGTTTTTTTTTCTCTCATAACGCTGTGAAACTTTTTAAGAGACACGTTCCGGCTCGATCTGGATCGGTTGCTAATTTATTCATCTCTTCAGCAACTCTCTGTAACAGTGTGCCATTGACAATGTGAGCATCACAGCACATAGAGCAATGTGCAATCACAAACTCACAGAGGGAGTTGGATCATTTGTGTGACCCCCGCAGAGGGAGAGATTTATGTGTGCAGTGAAACCATTGGAAGTTAATTGTATTCCATTATCATTTTGTGCCTGCGATACACTCATTGTACAGAGACGGAGGAGGAGGCCGCTCCTCTCTCCATCGCTCATTTTCTCATCTCAGCTTTGTGCCTCTTTGTGTACACGATCACTGTGTGAACACATCTGCCCGTTTGTCTTTGAACGCAGCGTGCATGTCTCCTGATTCAGGTCGTAACATTTGAATGCATCAGTTTCCAGCGCAGTGAGGAATAATCAGTGAGGTGTGTAGGTCAGCTGGTATCAGTGGAGAGACTCTCTGGCTGTGACCATGACTCCCTTTCCTCACCCCCCCCCCCTCGACAACATTAGCCTCAGGCGTCTGCAACTTGTACACAACATTTATTGACGCAGGAAGCAAGCTAACAGCATCCGCTAGTATTAATGTACCACTGGTGGACATTTATTCAAGTTTTTGCTGATGTTAAAAAGTGATGTAATCGACTTCCTGTCGCTTCTTCAGACACGTGTTCTGGTGGTTTTAGATTGGCCTTCTAATCAAAATGTATAATCATGCCAGAACAACATCATTATCGTGTGTTGTTTCATCGTGAATGAAAAACAAACCAAATTGTCCTTCCTGGATCCATTTGTAGCCCAATTTGAAATCTTCACTGTTCCTCACAGCGGAAACACTAACGACACGTTTTTTGTTGTTGTTAATAACATTAAAATCATGACAGACTCATCATGAGACTCTCTGGCTGTGACCGTGACCCCCCCCCCCCCCCCCCCCCCCCCCCCCCCCTTCGAGACTGTGATTAGTGTCCCGGTCAGAGCCGCCGCCCGGAGGGAGCGAACACTGGAAGGATTCAAGGTCTAATTTGGGCGACTTGATGCACAGGGTCCCTGACGACTGTAATACACTGCAGCTGAGCCTCGCTGCAGAGCTCTGTTTACTCTCTCTCTCTCTCTCACACACACTTCGTTTTGGGCTCCTTCTCAGGAAGCATCGATTTGGTGATTTACAGGTCAACATGTAGGTTGAAACTGGAAGGTTTGTGGATTTCTTGGCAGACGCGTAGCTACAGCTGAGGACTCTGAGGTCACGTCTGCTTGGAGTTTCTTTAATTTAGAGTGGGGAGGATTTAAAAAAAGCCAGATCCAATATTAATATGTTGGATTTTCACAGGCCAATAAATAAATACAGTTTTAAGTATTTATCCCCAGAATAGCAGTTTGAAGAAGGCTTTGCAATATCATTTCTTGCATCTGACATTTTGACTAGTCCAAATTTCGCGATTCGTATTTAGGAACTTTATATAGGATGCCACTGGAGTCAGATTTCCCGTTTTGGAAAACCCCAACCTCAAATCCAAGCTGCTGCTTTGGGCGTAAACAGAAATGAAAGCTATAGTCGTACTGTCTTTAGCACTTCTGTCTAATTGTGTCACATAACATCTGTTAGACACACTGTAATGACATGCTACAGATGTTATCAGTGCTACAATCTGCATAAGGCGATGTTATTTATTGGTATTGCCTACAATATAATACGTTTCTGGGGAATTCCTGACCACAGCCCTACATCTATGTTAACCAAACTTATGATTATGATTCAAAGCAAACCAACTTTTAACTCTAAAAACCTTTTATGCATGCATGATGACATTGCAGTGGCATCAGCTTCAAATGGTGCATTTCATTAACAAAAAATACATTTATGTAACTGACACATCTGTAAAACCACTGCTTAGATACCTCAGTAACCTTTTTAAGATACTTATCTTGCAGGAAACTGTATTGGGAGAAAATAGTCCCTACTCTGCATTCCCTGAGAACTATAAGGCTGGAGTTTAATGTACTGTAAGTGTTCCTGATTGATCCATCATTAGCCTCAGGCGTCTACAACTTATACAACATTTATTGACACAGGAAGCAAGCAGCAGCAACATGTATTAATGTACCAGTGGTGGACATTTATCCACATTTTTGCTGATGTTAAAAAGTTATGTAATCGCCTTCCTGTCGCTTCTTCAGACACGTGTTCTGGTGGTTTTAGATTTCCTGTCCGCCTCGTGTTGCACGTTTCCCCTGCAACATCTAATCAAAATGTACAATCATGCAAGAACAACTTAATTATCGTGTGTTATATCACCGTGTATGAAAAACAAACCAAATTGTCATATATTGATCCATTTCTAGCCCAATTTTAAAGGTCCCATGTCATGCTTTTGCGGTTATTACCCGTCCCCTTGTGTGTTATGAAGGTTTGTATGCATGTAAACGGTCTGCAGAGTCAAAAACCCTCAAAATACACCCTGTACGGAGTAAAAGTCTAACACAGAAAATACCTCCCCAAAACGCCTCGTTGGAGATTTCTCATTTTCCATTGTTTACTTCCTGGGTATTGCTACGTAGGGATACCCAGTAGCCACGCCCAGAGCTATGGCCGCACCCTCTGCCAGCCTTTCACGTAACAAAGCTTCCCAAAACCTTTCAGCGATGCATGCCGGATATGTACAGCGTAGGGCACTGAAGAACGATGCTGTTCCTACTTTGTTTGGACCAGCGGGAGATTCGGGTACACAACCTGTAAGTATTCATTGTTTGTGTATTTATGATGTTTAAAACAAACAAGGTATCTACCACAACTGTTTAAATGGGTAAACGTTTTTCTACATTGAAATGCTCTCCGCAGACCCATTCTCACAGCGTTATAAACCTTTTTCTTACTCAATATCAAGCCACACTTATTGTTTTTACTTCGGCTCTGAGTGTTTGTGTGTGCTCAGGATGAGTTTTGCTTGTTCTAGCTGTATCGCCAAGCCTGTCTGCTCCTCCAGCAGTGTGTGTGTCTGTGTGTGTGCGAGCAATGCTAACTGGGCTAACTAAGTTGCTAGTGTTTCCATATATCAACTCCAATGTTAGCAGATGGCCTTACATGTATCTCATAGCTGGAGAATGTCTGCAATCACACACGAAATACTCAGACAGTATACTCCGGGTGATTTACCGTACGGTCAGTACATTATAGTTGGCGTTCCTGGCGTGTATGCTACCGTTCATAGCGTGTATGCTACATAGCTAAACAAGAAGGCTAGCTAGAGCTAGACATGTTAGGGAAAACATTGTTTTCATGCCAGCTACAATGAATGACCGAACGTAGCAGACTACCCGTATAAGATTGCAATTGTAAACATGTTATTGCTAGCCTAGACTAACTGTTGTTCATAGTAGGCATATTACACTGAACAACTAGCAAACGTAGGTTAGCATATTAGCTGGCAAGCTAACTGTGTTGATTAGATAGATAGATTAGATATATACACACTCCTACCACAACTACTACTAACAAATCTAAAACAACTAAGTTTCTCTAATATTTTGTGATTTGCATTTGATTTCGTCCAGCCAGATCAGGAAACTCCTGGCGTATCTGGCGGACAACACACACACGGGATGACCACTCTGATGCCTCGTCCTAAAAAGCCCCAGCACCAGCTTAGCTTACAAAGCTGCATAGGCAAGATGCCGAAAACGCCTATAAGGGGAGGAATGGATGATATACAGTGTATATATGTATATTTACACATGTTCATTTTGTACATTTCTAAAAATAAAGTTTGATGGAAATACTTAGTAGGCCTATCCTTTCTTCCCTGAATTATTTGCTCCAACGAGCCGTTTAGGACAGAGAGTGAATACCGGTGAATACACATACTTTACAGAGATGCTGTATGCGAAACCAATGTGAGTTTGGAAAATTGCACAGTATACATCTATTTTAGTATACCTCAACAATGGAATTATGATCAGTGGAAATGGCCATGACATGGGACCTTTAAATCGTCACTGTTCTTCACTTGCAGTGGAAACAAAAACAAAAAGTGTTTTTATTTTGTTATCAACATTAACATCATGACAGATTCTAAGCTCTCAGTTTACTGCACTTTTAGTGCACAGTTTTACTATTATGCTGCTGTGTTTATTGTATTTTTGTTACTCTGGCACAACAATTTCCTTCGGGATAAATAAAATCTTATCTTATCTTATTTTAAGCTCCTTGACAACTGAGCAGATCCTTCCTCTAATGAAGATTGTTGAAGTTCAAACCTACAGCAACAGCTCATTAAAAGTGTAGAGATGTTTTGATTAACCATCCAGTTATAACCCTCGATGCATGTTGACCTGCGAGTATCCAAATCCCTGCTCTCTGGGTCATTGTGTGTGTCAGCTTCTTGTTGGGCAACAGAAAATCTCATATTTTCCCGGCATAAAGTCCCCGAGAACGATCACAGAACGACCTCCACCTCAAAACTCATTGCAAGTCCGCCCAGCTGAGGAGAGCGTCAGCAAAAATGTAAAATCGGCCTATTTTAAATTCCACCCGGTGTGTCTGAGCGTATAAAAGATGGCCGTTAACACAGGGGGGGTCGGAGGTCAGATTTCCTCCGAGACGACACAGCTCCAGAGGTCTGAAGGAATCCCACCACACGATGTATGTAAAGCAGAACACGACCTTCTGTGATATTCCTCCTGCTCTGGAAGCTAGAAGATAAGATGTGTGCCTCTGGGAGAGTTCGAAATATAGGTGAAACATCCCCTGATACCGAATCACATGCATGTTACATGATTAATGTTCATATATCTCCTTCAGCCTGTGATTGTGCGTTCATCCGGCAGCTTTACCTCTGCTGTACAGTATATCACGAACATAAGTTATAGCTGTCCCATCATTTTCAGGTGTGTTATGGTGCATTATTTGTATTCTAATTATCCCCTTCTCCTCTTGTTGTTGTTTTTTTTTCTTGATGCAGTTGTTTGTGTGTTGCCAATATTTTTTCTGCTGCTGCAGGCTGTGCTCTCGGTTATTTTCTGATCAACAAACACTCCTTTGTCTTCAGCCAGAACCCCCTGGAAGGAAACCAGCAGATGTATTATACAGGATATTATAGAAAATAAGCCGTTATATAGGCTACCGTGAATCATCTGGGGCTCACAGCGAGAGGACGGGAGATGCTTTCGCTGTGAATAAGTAACACTATGAAGAAGAGTGGGCGGCAAAATATAGTTTTAATGAGCATTTACACATTGTTTCATTATTTGTTTTAACTTTAAACCAATAGTTGGACATATCTTATTTGCTGTCTTGCAGGGAGTTAGATGATATGTGTGATGACTGATCTCATATCTTACAGTGAATTTGAAGCTACAGCCAGAAGCCGGTTAGCTTAGCTTAGCACAACAATTGGAAACCAGTGTAAACATCAAACTTGGCTCCGTCCAAAGTGAACTAAATCCTCTTAAAAGCTTACAAATTAACATGTTCTATGCACGTGAAAAATGAGGTGTGAACACTTGGTTTTGTGCCGAGTGTTCGTCGGCTCAGAGCTCTTTCAGCTGAGATTCTAAGAAAGTCTACCCTCTATCGCACTGGTTCTGATCCTTTGGGATTTGTAATTAACTAAAACAGCGATAACTTTGTGAACCAAGGTTGTTTTAGTCATTGAAATTGTTAACAAATTCGAATTGGATTTTTAATGGGTTTATTTCCAGATAAAATAGAAGCCTAAAGTTCAGGTTTTACTGTGGCTCTTGTACAGAAAGATATTACAACATTGACCTAAAATTAGTGAACCTTATTTGGATGGAGCCAGTCTAACTGTTTCCATTCTTTGTGCTAAGCTAACCAGCTAGCTGTGTGTTCATAACTTTTCACCTATCCTCACATTTCTCATCTAACTC